CAGCAAAAAGAGTTGCATCAAATTGAGGTGAAATGCAAGAAGAAACAATTAGAAAATATTTAATTGCTACTTTAGGGTTTCATGTAAATTTTGTAATGTTTTTTTAATAAAAATGGTTTGTATTTAAGTTATAATTAAACAGTTTATTAATCAAGTCAAATGTTTTATTTATAAATTCTTGTAATAAAGTAGATAGATGCTAACTCACAAATGTAATAAAAGCCCTAAAGAATATCATAGGTCCCTAACTAATGTGTAGCTGTAGTTTTTAGTATAAGTACATACTTGTATGTACTTATAATAATTATAAGTTAATATTATTAGTAATATATAAATAATATTAACTCTAATTCATTATGTATTCTATTGCCTATAATATTAACTTATAATAATTATAAGTTAATATTATAGGGAATAAAACACATAATGAATTAGTAATATACTTAATTATATACTGCTGCGGTTCTGTAGCTAGTAATGAAGCAAAATAGGTTTGTATGAGCTGCTGTCTATATATACTCTTGTTCTTGTATTTTATTTAATTATAATAATTATAAGTTAATATTATAGGCAATAAAACACATAATGAATTAGTAATATACTTAATTATATACTGCTGCGGTTCTGTAGTTAGTAATGAAGCAAAATAGGTTGGTATGAGCTGCTGTCTATATATACTCTTGTTCATTGGCAGTTTAAGATCATTCCCAATTTCAGTAACAATCCAGAGCACTGTTCCCTTCGATAGGGGTAACAGTGACAAAAATCTACATCATCCCAGGTTTCTAATGGCGGATGACATTGCCTAAATATTTTTGGTCACTCATTAACACATTCTCATATAATATTATCGCCTTCTTCATCGTCTCATTAATTAAAGTATCTCAATATGTTTAAATTCATCATTAGATAGTAATAAACGTATTTATCATAGTTTGATTTCTGTGACAAACAGCTGTTAGTATATAAATTACCAGCGGCCATCTTTTTAACCCTCCGATACTGAGTAGTTAACTTTTTTGACTAATGGTTAGATATTTTACCATTGGATGCTCTTACCACGGATCAAAAAACGCATTTTCCTGATATTTAACTAATAGTAACGATTTTTTACCAATAGTTGAGTTAACTACGGATCAAAAAACGACCCTTAGTCGAATTGCTATATTTTTTGTCATATAAATTTTTAATTACTATCTATATCTTGAATAAAAATATAATTATTAAACTTTATTTCTTTATTGTACACTAAAACAAAACAGGATCTGTTACTGTTATAAAAAAATATGATGAACACACATCATTTTTTTGTTCATCACTAACTGTTATTTGATAGTTTGGTATGAGTACGTAATATTAATTGATGTATAAAGTTTATATACGAGGCGTGAATGTATCAATAAATATTTAACTATTAACTATAACTGAAACTTTCAATATAATATAAAACCACGTTAAATATTTTAATACATCACCAAAAAATATTACCTTTATAAACCTGTAAAAATTTAAACCTCGCGTATTTTTCGTAATAACTTGTTGAGTACATATCTAATGCTGGCTAAGCAAACCCCATCTGCGCGAGTAAATCACCTGAACAGGGCTATTTGTTTATGTAAAATATTAACTCGCTTAGCAAATGAATGGATAAGGGAACAGAATAAAGCGTAATAAATGCCAACTGTAAAAAATGCGAGCCGATAACTGAACGATTGAACGAATAATAAACGAATGAGTATTCGAGAACGAATGTTATGACCGACGATACAGATTCTCATTTCCCTTTGCGTTTTTGGATTCGGATTCAATGGGCCATAAAGTAAACAAGCACTCGTATTGAGTATGCTTATCGCTCGTAAAGCTTACAAAAATAGGTGCCATAAAGTGTCAAGTTGCCAGTAATAAGGTTAAGTTTTATTCGAGGTTGCCACTATCTGTCTTCTTTCCCTTTTATTCCAACTGAGATTGTGTTTAACGACCGCCGAGCTATTTCATTATACTAGTGCATTAGCTTCAACATGCTTAAAATAACTTAAAAATTACAATGTTAGAGCTTGTGGTTAAAACTACAAAATCAAATAATATTTTTTTCTATAGAACATTGGACATTTATTTGTTGTGTGGTGTGCTTACCAAGCGTATTTTGGTTGTAGTGTGATGAAATATATAGTATTCCTTCATTACTATGAGATATAGTATTGTTTAATTCGAAGTAGTTCCTGATATTATTGGCACAAACATTATATTATAGATTTTTGGGATTACACAGCTTTTTTCTATTTAAATAAAACTTTACGGTAAAAATCGTGTCAAAAATCATATTAAATCTATGCTTATGTTGAATTGGTGCTTTCCTAGCTCAACGAATCAGTTTCGCAATACAGCGAGGAAATAGTGCCAGCGTTAAACAACACTTTTGAACATTGTTTTAGTTTTGTATTTATTAATTTTTAATATTTTTTTTAAATTTACAAATTCAAATTCATTTAGGTAACACAATATACACTTATGAACGTCAATAAAGAAATACATATTAAATTCTAAATGCTTCTAATTTTACATTTACTGCCAGTTCTTAAAACAAGAGCGTAGAACGGACGAGAAGAACTGGCAATAAACTTTCCGCTAATCGCCAAGTTTTTTGTTTTACAATTATAATTATATATTTATATTAAATCTATTTACTCAACAATTCAATTGGAACATTAAATAAATTATATAATTTAAAATTACTGCCTGAATTAAATTACACACACACAATAATTTTTTTTTATCTTCAATTATTACAATACTCTACATACAATATTGTAATAATTGCTCTTTCTGCATTTTAATATAATATTAAGGCCGCTCACCTAATAAATTATGAAGCCTGTTTTTTTATATGTAACATATGTTTAATTTAACAGTTTTTACAAAGTAACAGTAGTGAGTTGACGACTCATTGGTCTAGTGGTTAGTACCCCTGACTGCGAATCCATGGGTCCCGGGTTCGATCCCCGGCTGAGACGAACATCGATGTGATGAGCATTTGGTGTTGCGCTTAGGTCTTGGGCGTTTAAAAATATGTATTTATATGTCTATCTATCTATAATATGTTTGTATATCCGTTGCCTAGTACCCATAACACAAGCTTCACCAGCTTAGCATGGGACTAGGACAATTGGTGTGAATTGTCTTTAAAAAAAAAAAAAAAACAACAACTTCTTTATTTAGAAGAATACGTCATAATTATGTAGTAGTATATTAATTAATTATTATTTTGCGTTGATAATCTAAGCGTATAGTCGACAGGACGTATCAAAAGTTATGATGAAATTTTCATCTTAATACAAATTTTAGTGCTTTAAGCTAGATCCCCAGCTTTATTTCAATGAGATAAATCCTACGTTCAAAGAGCGGCATCCAGTCGCCTAATTGACATCGTCCACTGTCAGAGAGTTAAAGCCTGCTCTGGACAATAGAGTCCTTAGTTTTAGATTTATTATATTTTATTTAAGTAGTCGTGGTGTATATAAACCTAGGTTTAAGACCCGAAGTTTTATCGTATTGGACATGTAGAAATCGAAGTTACTTGATAAACTTGTTGTCGAAACAGTAGTTCAATGCATTATTAAATATACTAAACGTAAATATGCAAGATTTTTTTTACCACAAATCAAATTTAGTAGTGAAATACGAATTTGTTTTTAAGAATTCATTCTGTTGTTTACGAATTTTACGAATATCCGGCCTACTAAGAGTACGAATTGAAATATAGCGTTCAAGTAATTAATTGAGTGTTAAAGGTACACTGCCACTGCCACTTAATTTGTTTTAATTTACGTTTTAATTATTTTTATTATTACTTTGTAGGTTAATAAAATTGTAAATACAAATTATACGCATGTAGCATGATTTAATGATAAAATAAAATATCATTAAATCATGCTACTGCTGCTAGCGGTGCGCATATTTAATTATTACAATGACTTGGACGAGCGAAAATGATGAACAATTAATTGATTTTGTTAAATATCATGAAGCTTTATACAATATCAAATCCAAAGAGTACAGACAAGCTCAGATGAAGCAAAATTTGTGAAGCAACTCTCCTCCAAACGCTTTTTTTCGTCTTCTGATGAAAAATAGGTACTTATATAATGCTATATATGCTAATGCGTCCAAATCGTCCAATTTTTTACCAGTGCACGACCTAACGCTCGAGTGAGTACTGAGTGTCGAGTGACTACGATGTGAATACGGTCGCACTACTTTCTAGGAAACCTCAGCTTGGCCACCGTAAAGACGGCCGTTATTAACAACCGTAAAATGATCGCTGTTAGTTAACGGCACCGCGTTTCTAGGAAACCGTAGCTTAGCTGCGGAAACTGAGTCCACCAACCATACATCGTGAGGATATCGGCATTTCTCTCAAAAAACGATATGTGTCAGACAGAAGGCTGATCACCGTTACCCTCGTCGAAATTGCAATGATCAAACGCGTGCATTCCGAGACTAAGACCCATATTATAGGGTTGTATTGGATTATTATTATTAAAAACGCGTGGCAATAGTTCTAGTTATATTGTTATAATTTGTTTTGTTATCTTTGAAGTGTTGTGAATATGTGTGTAATGGTGAATGTGGTAAATAACAGAACAGATTTTTACTTATGTAACTTTAGTGACGTTGTGGTTTATGACATTTTCCTTTGAATAATTGTAATGTGGGAGGGTAAAACTTGCTGAGTTTCTTGCCCGTTCTTCTCAGAACAAGGCCTCCTGGTAGTTTTGCGTACGGATGGCGTAGTCTTGCTCTTTCGCGAATTTTGTAAACGTTTTTGACATTCATAAGCATGCCCTAAGACGCATCTAAACTTTATAAACGTATTTTTGATTTTGAATGGTAATCCATACAAAAAAAGCCCATGAAAGTAGAAGAAATATTCCAAGCTAGGCTAATAATTTCAAAGTCCTCTAGGCATCGTAACGAGATCTAATACAATATTTTATTTATAGAAGAGAAAGGTTCGGCTGAAAGCGGTGGGAACGGGTACATGCCGGCCAAAGTGCCCATCACCATTACAGCTAACCCGATGCACACTGAGGTAAGCTATTATAAACTCTAACTTTCATATTAATGCGACCCAATTTGAACATTGATTTAGACTAAACGTAGCGTTAAGTGGATCTTTCACTATTATATACTAGACGATTGGAAGCGTATTTAATTTATAAAACAAATCAATATAAATTATATATTTATAATAAATAGGCTGCTTAATATCTACCCGCTCACCGTCTACAGTCTAAAAATACGACTAAAGAACTGGCTTAGGAACACACCTTACGCAGTGTTAGAGATGCTTCTGAGACCTAATATGTAGTTACACATTTTATTTATTCACTCACTGACTCACTCACTCCCTCACACATTTGCACCCACACACTTACTTATTCGCTAACATACACCCACACACTCACTCATGCACTCAGGCGTGTTGAAAACAATTGAAAATTAAAAACAAAAATAATTAAAATAAAATATCTAATTAAATTTATATTAATATATTTTAAGGAATATATAATAAAGTTTGTTATGGACTCCTAAATGACTCCTAAATATCAATTAAAACCCCCCAAAGTACACTTTGACACTTCGGTTTGAGAGGTAATTTCGAATATGCATTAAAAATACATTTCAATCTTGGATCTTTTTGATATATAAGTATAGCCAAGCTCGGAGTTTTTATTTATATTTTGTTTATGTAATAAGAGGCAAACGGGCAGGAGGCTCTTCTGATGTTAAGTGATACCGCCGCCCATGGACAGTCACATTGCCAGAAAGCTCGCAAGTGCGTTGCCGGCCTTACAAGAATTGGTACGCTCTTTTCTAAGACCCAAGTTGGAGGTTTTATTTAGTTTAGGTTGTTAAGTGCGAGGCTTAATAGAAATTGTATAGAAGCGTGTGTTTAAAAGAAAACAAGATCAATTTCATGAATAAAGTGCCCCCTTAAATTCTCCCTAAATAAACACACCGTCTAGAAAACCCCCTGGACATCTTGTTTCCCCCTAAATTTGGGAGGAAAACCCCAATTTGGCATTACTGAGGTGAGGTAATCAGCACGCTCTAAACTCTTCTAAGAATATATTGACACTATTATATATTTACTATATTTTAGATATAACAAAATTTTATATCCAGCAAAAGGGAAGTCTTCATACTTCAAATTGTTGGTTTGTGTATTTAACATACACGAATATTTCAAGTAATAGTAAGTTGTATTGTAAGTTGTGTCAATACGACCTTTAAGCACAATTTTCCTCTGAGTGAATTTAAGAAGTTTATACAAATATTCGTTTATTTTTAGTTTGAATTATTGAGTCAGGTTACGATATGTATCAAATCACTGTATTCAATTTAATTTTTTGTATCAAATATCTGTGAAAATCTCTTCTTATATATAAAACAAAGTCGATTTTGTTCAAATACAAGAACGGCTCGATCGATTGCAGGTTGGTTTGTTGTATATGTTTATTAAAATATTAAAAAAAATCAAATACTAAATGTTCATGGTTTTCGTAACTGTCAAACATTTAATCCCGTCGATACGGTAAACTTTATTGCCAGTTCTTCTCTTCCGTTCGACGCCCTTGATTTGAGAACTGGCAGTAAATGTAAAATTAGAAGCATTTTATATTCTTTTTTGACGTTCATAAGTGTACATTGTGTTACCTATATGAATAAATGATTATTGACTTTGACTTTGAAACTCTCCCCTCAAATTAAAGAACGAATTTAAGGTTTCGAATCGACAAGATATAAATATAGTAAATCTATTTAAATGTAGAGTAATGACAGTATATATATATATATATATTTATGCGTGCGTTCAGTCATTTATTTTGTGTATAAGGATATACCTACTTAATACAACAGATCCACAAAGGCACGTAACTTTGTATTGCGATTCGCTGATCGTAGTGAATTTATTTATTTTAAATTCATTGTATTACTTTCATAAAATCATTTTTAAGTTCAGCTAATCTGTAACACGCTGAAGGCCGACACTGCTCTGCTACTGTTGATCTCTTTCCTGAGGTCGTAGGTTCGATCCCCGGCTGTGGACTTGACACCGATGGACTTTCTTTCTATGTGCGCATTTAACATTCGCTCGAACCGTGAAGGAAAACATCGTGATCAAACCCGTTTGCTTTAGACCCAAAAAGTCGACGGTGTGTGTCAGCCACAGGAAGCTGATCACCTATTAGATTAACAAATTCATGAAACAGATACAAAAGCCTGAGATCTTTATAGCAGACTCGGCCAAGCGTTGCTGTGGCTAAGGTTTTTGATATATTACATAGTAGTAAACTATTCAAGGGAAACGGTAGGAGAACACCAGTTATGGGGACCACCGTGCTTTTTTGGTGGCTATGGCCATTAATTTGTAGCTTATGTGAAACGTTGGTACTTTCAACACAGCGCCAGCTGTTACAATTGTGATAGTAAACAAATAATTTGTAATAAAATAATATTGCGGGTATAAATTAGGTGTAAGCTATCCTATCTTTTAAGCTAGATCAAACTACACACGGTGTGCAAGTTTGATTGAAATCGGTTAAGTAGTTTAGGAGTCTATAGCGGACAAACAACGTGACGCGTAATTTATATATATTAAGATAATCTGTTACACGACATTCATTGATTGTTAGTATCGCTGGGTTTGCATATAACGGTGTCATAGTATATTTTCGATTTGAATTTGATATTTTTCATTGAGCATTTATACAATTTCCTCAAATCGAATCTTTTCAGGGCGAAGCTGGCGTGGAAATGTCATTCCTTCACAATAACAACTGCGGGAATAACGGCACCAACGATGACACCGCACATTCAAGGAAAAATGGACCTTCGAGACAATACGTATAAGGTTCAAATAAGACTGTATATGTTACTGGCAGTGTATCTGGCAATTTATGAAATGCCTAGGCAAACTTGGTAATGCAAAATCACGGCAATACATTTTTGTATCAAAAGTGAAACAAACAAATTTTGTTGCGAGCCTCCTGGTGAGTGCCCATGGGCGGCGATATCACTTAACATCAGTTGAGCCTAGTGTCCGTTTGCCTCCTGTTACATAAAAACTATATTATTATTAGCTTGGGTATTGCATAGAATACCAGATTATACACATTGACGGTAACTACTTAAGATTTTTGATAGAATTTCGAAATTAGGATTTCAAAATGTGATAGCGATGTGCACGGTCTTTGACAGTACAAAAATATATTTATTATAGTTAAGGAGGGTATGTTTAGCGTAAATATCAATGGAGCGTACTTGGACTTAGCCTATACCTTTAATTATTAATTAATGACTAATTATAGTCTAAAGTAACTGTTTAGTCTTATTGTACGATTATGAGTACTGTTTAATATTAAATAGACTAGATTCTAAGTTCAAGTAAGTTCTATAGAGTCGTAATTTATGATTAGTTAAGAATAGCAATATTTTATATAAACCATAAAACTATTTGTTTTTGTCTTTTGTCTATGAAATATACTATTTTTAAAATCGGAGATTATTCGCCATGGTTACTATGGCAACAGATACGGTGTTAACTTTAATCCTCGATACATTATAAGATGCGTTCAATGATCACCATTGTGTGAAATTAAATGAAAAATAAAATCCAACCACAAACAGGCGACACGTCGTTCCGTTTCACAAATCGTTTCATCTCTTTATATATATTTAGGTTTATTTAGGCTTTTCTAGATCTGACATTAGTCATAAGCGACATTCCTGGTAAATGCATAGTAAATGGTGGAATGTGATTTATTGACGCTCATTTCAATAAGCGATTTCTCGACAGCTGCGGTTGGGTGAAATTTTTATTTGAAAACTTAACGTTTAAAACATTTTTACAAAATAACTTTTCAAATTATATGTTGTTAATATCACATTTTCTACGATTTAGGGATTCATATAATTTCTTTGGTGGATACAAATCGGCTAGGTAAATGGAGGAAATTTTTTTTATAAATTTAACAGTGAAACTTAGCTGGAGGACTACTTACTGCGAAATATCTGTTAGGCTATTAGACATCTATATTAATTTTTGAGTGGTTGAGTAATCTCAGCAACAACGGATTATAAGAATAATTGCTTACATTGTACCATCAAACATTTACCGTACGAAGGCAATAAACTTCGAATAGATATAAAAATTCATTGTTACACGGGATTCGAACCCCACAAGCTTCTGCTTTGCTTCTAGCTTACACAAGTTTCACTACATTATTTGCACCTGACGGTCTTCTAAATCTCGGCTCGAATTAAGATCCTAGAATATGTGATAACTTTCGCAACGAAGGCAAGTTAACGAAATTAAAAATAGCTTTAATCGGCGTCGTACTTAATTAGCATAAATGCATTTATTGTGTGGACAAATGGGTTCTGAATGAAACATATTGCATTGAATCAAATACTATTTGGAACATACATATGTTGTTTTATATGTAAAAATGCTAACGTGCATATATTGTATGAATTTTACTCTATATATACATTGTAAACGTTTATAACTCCCTTTAGCGTTGCTATTGTGTTTATTAAATATTCCTTCCTCAAAATCCGGCAACGCATCCACTAAAATGAGTGACCAAGAGCTGCGGGTGCTGGCTTTTGACCTTATCTAAATCATGGTAAAAATGTTGCCTACAGATATTGAACGTGAAAAATAAATAGAAAACAAATTCTGAAGTTATAAGTATTTTTATTATATTTCTATTTATTTACACAATTCGTCCAAAGCTCAAACCACGTAACTCATTGTAAAACTAGAACGACTCTGTAATAAGATTATTAGCTCGTACGGACGACATTCGAATATATTTAAAGTCGGGAAGTAAATTACAATGGTCGTTTGCATTTTCTCGTACAAACTGTGATAAGCTTGAAACTCAATTTCTAAATAAAATATAAATTCTACGTAAATCAATTCTATATCGATATTAGATTAAATCGTAGAGATAGTTTACGTGAAGTTTCAGTGACGTTCCGATGACGCTTTTCGAGCGTATTCTCTTGTTACTAGATTCATGTTCTATCAAAGTACTGTGCAAACTCCATATAACGTCTCTCGATTTAACGACAACCTCCCTAAAGCATTGAAATCAATTGGCTTTGGTTGGTTTAGCTTATTATACAATGATATAACTCTACATAGCGTTACACTTAGTCTCAACAACGACAACAATTGAGTAATGAAGTACTTTTTTAGTTGTTAAAATTAGTTAAAACTGTCGCTTTATTATCCTAGCTCGCAATAAACTCGACTGTCGGCATCATGCATAGGAGTCATTGATTATCTTAACGTTGTCATATTCTTAGTGTATCAATAAACTTCAAACTGTAAATATGGCTAGTAAAAGAAAATAATTCTGATTTTGTTGCTCTCCATTTAACGGCAACTCTGTATTACGACATAAAATACACAGTACCTTCAGTGTCGTTATATAGAGTTTACACTGTATATGATGCGTAATTTTGAACGTATCAAAACTTTAGAAGAATACAAAAGCAGACGCTTTACACAACTGGTCTACAGAAAGCGTGGAGATGACCTTGGAGCTTCTGTGAAGCCCTTTAGGGTTTGATTTTATCTCGGTGTCATATTTTTAGTTGCGCTGACCTTTGCCTATTTTTAAATGTTATAAAGCGGTCAAGAGATTGTATCCCATTGTGTATTATAGCAACACTTTAAATTAAGTAACTACTGAAGCTTTGTTATAAGTACTAACTGATATTTAACTCATCTTACTCTGTCCACAATTTGTACATGGAAAATAAACAATTACGATAATAGATGTGTTTTAATTAAACCGGAAGCAATTTATTGGGTAATTAGGTACAAGGTATTATAGCATTCGTAGCCAATTAATAGCGAGGCTGTCGAACAAATTCTTCTTTAGGGGATTGTTGGATTTAAGTGCGAGCGTGGCGTTGCGCCAAATCGGCTTTTGTGCAGGTGTCCAGCCACTCGACAAAGATTGAGGGTCGATTTGATCTAAATTAATTTTGGGCGAGCTGTTCTACAAATTAACGAGCTTTGTAAGGAAAGAGGTATTGTATTATAACATTTGCTTAGACTTTTATAACGGAACTTTTGAAAATTCATCATTTACTAAGAACATAATCCTTTACACAAGTCTGACCCACGACTGCTCTTAAATCTATAGTTACGTAAAACTAGTATTAAATATTACTGATATATACATATATTTTGTTATAGAACAGGGGGCAAACGGGCAGGAAGCTCAGCTGATTTTAAGTGATACCGCCGCCCATGGACACTGCCTATTCCAGAGGGCACACTAGTGCGTTGCCGGCCTTTTAAGAATTGGTACGCTCTTTTCTTGAAGGACCCTTTGCCGAAATGGTCCGTAAAATCTTCAGTGGGCAGCTGGTTCCACATAGTGCTGGTAAGCGGCAAAAACGACAGACGTCGAGGTGATACTGGTGGAATTTCGTATTCTGCCTTGACGTCCGATGATGAAACTCAGCTGTAGGTAAACGCGGTAGAAGATGCAGACTGACCCCACATCTCTACGCAACGCCAACGGATCAAGCCGCTCGGAGAGGGATTAGTCGTCGACGATTCGAACCGATCTTCATTTTCTGTGTATATAAGAAACGAGTATATACAGTAGCTAATTATAAAACTAATTAATTATAATCATCCAAAAGGATGCTTATTTATTTATTTATCAAGTTCCTAATGGTGAAATAGCTTCCAACTATTAGTGTAGTGCAAAGTGGACTTAGTAAGTTTAGTGAACACTAACATAGTGTTAGACAATAATGTTGTGAGTCTGAAGTGTGCCAATTTTCAATTAGCAACAATTATGCGTAGACGATTAGAACCATTTCCTAACTTTCATATTAATATTACTTTAAAAGCTATGAAGGCTCTACAACCCTATGTTATTATTATTTTTTTCTACTAAGTTAAATTCCTTTTCTTTCTTTTTTTGCGACTGAGGCGCGAACTAGCTGCTGTGGTCTCTGGCAAAATTATCAGCGCTGTGGAACATTCTGCTCCTCGGCATAATGCTAAATGCCACAGCACACACGCATTACACACTTGAAACGAAGCGAATGGGAAAAGGGAAAACAATATTTTTTATATCTTTCATTATATTTTTTATTCTTTGATTATTTATTGTTATGTTTATGTGTGTATTTTTGTTTGTATTAAATTATATGTCTATGTATCTGGTTATTTGTGTTATTTTCGTTGAACATTTTTTTTACAGTTTAAGTCATATAGAGAAAAGGCAAGCAATTATTATACTTATATTAGCCGTCTATTTTATCAGGCATCGTTTAAATTGCTTATTATTTATTTATTAACACTTCGTTGTAGAAATATAATACAATTGACATAACTAAATGAAAAGGAGGGCAACTGGCGGCCTTATCGCTTTTTAGGGATCTCTTCCAGACAAGCACTATTAAAATGTAGTGTTTAATTTAGTATCATATTTATTTAATAATCAACTTGTAAAGTTTAAATAAACCGAATTGATATTTTTTACATTACGATTAAACAAATACGGTTATTATGTATGGGCCTATATTGGCTCTGTATTTACTGTTTGTAAAACAGATACAACATAAAAAGCAAAACAATTGCTGATTGTTATAAAAAACAGAACAAACCTTGTGATATTTTTGTATACACAAAGGGAAATTATTCCGCAGCATTTCATTTGCATAGAAATGTGGGACAGAGCTCGCAAGTAGAAGACAAGTGCCTATCGATGCAATCAAATACCAAATCGTAGGATTACTGTAGCCTTTGTGTTACGTTGTTTATACTCAGCGAAGCAAATTGTTAAATCAGAACCGATCTCAAAGGATTA